GTGTGACAGGTGCGACACTGGAAACCAGTGCTGACTACTGGGAACTGCACTTTTTTTTGTGTGTCATGTAAACAGCACGGAGCGTGCTGGCACTTGCAGCTTATCTTCAGGCTAAAGACTTTAAACAGACTGATTTTGTTAAACGTGTTCAATAAACAGAGCAAGACGGGACAAGTGACTTTGCCCTGTGGTCTCGACAAGCAGGAAGTTTTACTTTCAATTCCAGGCTTTATTATGTAGCATGTACAATTAGGAGGAAGCGAACATGATCACGTGACACTCTCAGGCGTACTTAAAACAATAATATAAATATTTTAGAACATTGCAAGTGTTTATAACACCTGCTCTCCGTGGAAGTGCTCAACTTTCTGTTTGTTTTGGCGGTGTTTTTGTTGTTGTTGTTTTTTATCAGTGAAAACCAGATCTGCTCAAGTTTGCCATCACGAGAAAAGGAAAAAGCAGCACATTTTGACATTTGAGTCTCAAAGAATAATTAATACTCGTGATTTCTTTTTTTCTGACTGTAAATGACTGGCAGCAAATTTAAATTATGCAAACCAGCTGCAAAAAACTGCATTTGCCTGCTTTATTTGTTATGAAAATCATAACAAGTAAACTGTTTTTCTCTAGGCCTTGTATGTTTATTTTTGTGTTTTTAAGCTATTAATTTGACAGAATACAATTTGAAAACATTCATTAGCAATAAACTTAAACTTGTTTCTTCTGTTTTCAGCAGCCTGCAGAAAATTAAACCACACTTTAGGAAACGTGTGGAGTCCTTTTTTCCTCCTGTTTCTTTTCCTTTTACTCTGTCCTATCCCGACCACCTCACCCTCTGTTTCCACGTCTGTCCCCCCTCATCATTGCCACTCTTTCCTATTTTGGGCCACGTCCATCTGTCTCCGGCTCATTTCCCCTGCCCTCACATCCAGTGACATGGCCTCGGCTGAGTCACCGCAGTCCAGTGTCCTTCAGGATGAGCTCACCTGTCCGGTGTGCTTGGACTTGTACCGGGACCCTCACTTGCTTCCTTGCGGGCACAACTTCTGCAAGACTTGCCTCGATCGCCTAAAGCGGCAGGCAGAGCGGAGTCACTTCCGCTGTCCAGAATGCCGTAACAGCCACCAGTGTAACACCAACTTTCAGAAAAACTTTAAACTTGCCAATATCGCCGATGACTACCGTCACAGGCGCAGGGTTCGTGCCATGCCTCCCACAGCTTTAAAATCAAGGGATCTGCCGTCGTCTTCTCTCGTGCCACAACCTTGCAGGAATGGGATTGCTGTGCCATGTGACTACTGCCCTTCAGGCTCTGCCGAGGCACCGGCTGTCAGTGCTGCTGTGGACTGCTCTTCTGCTGCTTCTGTTTCTCAACAAGGGGGTGATAGCGAGGGAGCAGCAGCTGCTGCTGCTGCCGCTTCGATGTTTGCAGTAAAGACCTGCTTGAAATGCGAGGTGTCGATGTGCCAAGAGCATTTAAAGCCACATCTGGAACTGCCGGCATTCCGCATGCATCCTCTCACCGAGCCGATGAATGACTTCTGGAAGAGGAAGTGCCGTGATCATGATGAGATCTACAGGTAGGGAGGAGGAGGAGATGGCCTTTTGACTTTTTCATGAAGAGTAGCTGAGTGCCTGTAAAACATTTATTTATTTACTAGTGAGGATGTCACCCCCCCAGGCTTTACTGATTTGCTCTGTTGATCAGCCTTTAGTGTTCATTTTTATCTGAGCCCTGTTATTTTTACTCCAGATACTACTGCATTGATGACAAGATATGTGTGTGCAACGCCTGTACCATAGAGGGAGGACACTCAGGACACACGATCAAGACTCTGAAAAATACAATGAAGGATATAAAGGTACACTCTTTACCAAAATTAGAGTTTCTCCAGTCTGTAATGTTATGATGATAAAGAGGTTTTTTTAATGGCTAAACACTGAATATACACGCACTGGCCACTCTATTAGATACATCTGTTCAAATGCTTGTTAATGCGAACATAATCAGGCATTAACTCATTTAGGTAAGTAGAAATGCTGAAATTCAAATTGAGCGTCAGAATGAGGAAGAGGGTACTTAAGTGATTTTGAATGGTTGTTGGCATCGCATGGTCTTGTCTGAGTATTTCAGAAACTGAGATTTTCCCACAAAATTGTCTGTAGGATTTGTAGGAATGGTCTGAAAAAGACAAAATATCCTATGAGCGGCAGTTGAGAATTTATTTAATTATTTAAGCTGTATGAATGAGCCACAGCAGACCCGTCCACATTTTAGTGCTGTCCAGCGTGTACTTTATGCCCTCAGCTGTTTAAACACTGCTTGGCTGTAGCTTTGCAGCTCCCAGTCTCACACACCACCAACAGCAACAACATATTGACAGGACGCACTTCCTATTTTACGCTCAATCTTGGAGTCCCTTCATGTTAAACGTGAAACCGTTTTGTGCCTTCATTCGCTTTAAACTTGCTCGGCTGCTCTTGTTTGCCAGGGGGTGCTGGACAAGCAGCTGTACAGGATAGAAAGGAAGTACAGCATGGCTGAGAAAAAATTCCAGGAGCAGAAGGAGAAGGAGCGGCACAGTAAAGTAAGAGGCCTCACATTTAACTGTCTAAACATAACTGATACATTTGTTTTTAGTATGTTACCATTTGTCTTGTTTTGTTTTTTTTAAACTACTATTATTTTGCACTTTTGTCTTTTCAATCCCAGTTCTGGGAGGCCTGTGCCTAAACATAAATACTGACTCAGCATGTGCATGTGCCAGTACTACTAGTTCTAAGTGAAGCCTTTAAGAGACTTCTGTAAAGCTCATTGCTGAGGAAAGCAGTTTCGGCATCGGTCCGATACTGACCTAAATTAC